CAGAGTTACAAAATCTGTTTAAATTCGAAACTAATAGGTTTTCCACAACCTGTTCTAATTTCATAACTTAAGATCCACCTTTACATTACTATTAAAATAGACTAGGCCCCTAATTAATCTCGAATTGTACTCCATCCTCTGCTTTAAATCTCTGCATTTTGCTGCATTTTCTTTCTAAAAGAAAAAGTGTAAACACTTTGTGTGTTCGACGAACGATTAAATTATAGTGCTGCTTTTATTCGTTGACAAGATCATTTTATCCTGGGAGATAGATGTCCAAATTCTGAAAGTACCGTGGAGAGGGCGAATCTGTCTTAAGGACACAGTGTTAAACACTGGATTTGATCAGAAAAGTTATTCAAATAAATTAACCAAGTAAGTTGTTTAATTTTATTCTGTTTTATTTGTTTATTTAATCAGATTTTATTTTCGTTTTTGTAACAAAATAAAATCTGTGATTTTATTTATTTATTTATTATTTAGAGTTTGATTTTTGTAATCAAACAAATTCTCTCCTTTTCTTTATTTCTTTATATTCTGGTTGTTGTTTAGTACACAACAGAATTTAACTTATTTAAATACAGTGAAGATTGTCCAACAATTAATACGGGTAAGAAATGGGCATCCAAAATCATCTGATTTTTTACTTTTACCAACTACAATAGGACAAAATCAATGGATACCCAAAAATATTTTCCCATATTTGTCCGGCAATAAACTCAAGATAGGGCAATTGGGCACCTAGATTTCCCTGTACAGGTACCAAAATCACACAAATTTCTCAAAACAATACCACATAAACATCTTCAAATCAAAGAGATACATGGTTAAAAATAATCTTACCTCAAAAATTAAGATCAAGAAGCTAGATAATTGAAGAAATTTTCGTAAAATTCCAATCCAATCGGTAGAAAGCTTTATACTTACCTAGACTCCAACTTTTGCAAGCAATAGGGTTGTGAATCTAAATAGAATGGAAGATTTATAGAGAGATATGGCTAGGGTTTTAGTAGCTAGACAGAGAGAGGAAAGAAGAGAGAAAAGAAAATGTGAAGAAAATTATCTAAAAAGTCACTTTTAAGTGGCTGATATCGCATAGAGCGCTTGAGCAGTCTTTTCACCGCGCAAGCGATGAATGAGAACTCATGCCTCTGACATTGGTTATGGTTGCATTCCCTTTCAATGAGTCCATCTCAAGTCATCTAAACAAATTGTTCGTTTCCACTCTGGTATTTGGAACAAAGTATAGAAAAATTATAATACTATTAAAAAAGAAATTTTATCTATTGTATTATGTATTAGTAAATTTCAAGATGATATTTTAAATCAAAGATTTCTAGTACACGTTGATTGTAAAAGTTGGAAAAAGATGTTCAAAACATTGCTAGTAAGCACATTTTTGCCCGTTGGCAATCTATTTTAAATATATTTGATTTTGTTAAATTTTTATTTTTATTTTTTTAAATTTCACAAGGCTTTCGTTGTATACACTTTTACAATCTTCTTTTTTTATTGGTGTTTTTTTCCTTAGAAATGTTTTTTGTTTGAGTTTTAAGAATAAAAAGGATTATATTACATTAATATTAATTATGTATACTAAACCCACAATTTATATTACCTCTTGTTAGTTTGTAAGGATTAAATAGAAATATGAGAAAATAATACAATAGATTGTAGTAGTGATTTTCAATGAAACATGTTTTTCAACTAAATTTTTTTTATTTATTATCACAATTGATATAGTTTTTTCAATTGACATTTTTTTTTAAATGTCCTTGTTATTAACTTACATTGCATAGTTTTTGTGATATGGGTTTTTGCAGAAGGTTTTATAAAATTTTCTTTTTGCTTTATTACTTTTATTGAATTGAAAAATTCATTTTTGATATGGATTAATTTAAGAAAAATGTCAATCTTGTTGAGTTGCTCTTAACTTCTTGATGATTATTTTTCCTTCAACGTATTATACACTAGTCAAAATTATCATTTTCTTCTTTGCTTTCAATTGGCATTTTGTTTATTTGATTCAACCTTCGTATAAGTGTTTTTAAAAAATTTTGGTAGTGAATTTAATTAGTTCATTTATTGTGCCTTTCCTTTTCTAACAATCATCTATGCTTCTTGGATATGCATTTCTTCTTACCATGGTTATGGATGTGCATGAATCTGATTATTGGGAGATTTGTTATAAACAAGCATTACACTTCTCCATCTCTATTTCAGGGGGGAAATGGGTTTTGAAACAACAATTTAGTTTGGACGATTTTAAGACTCTTGATAAGAAAGTTAAATTTGGGAGGTAAATTTTCTCTATTCTAATATTTGTTTATTGTAGTACTTTTTGATTTCATGGGTTTGTGTTTGAGTTGTTCTTGACAAATACAGCAACAAGGGGATTGAATTGGCCTTTTAAGAAATTCCCACTATACCTTTTTGTTGCATTTGGTCTGATATACATGGGGTAGCAATGGAAAATTTAGAAAAATAATATTTATTTAATTTTGCTTTTGTGCATAAAAAATGGACAATCCTTAGCAATGGAAAATTTGGTTGTGGAATGTGACAATTGGCGACCAAACATGTTTGGTCAGGAAAATATGGCTTTTTGTGACCAAATTGTTTTAGCTACCAAATGGATTAGTCACAGTAATTATATATTTAGCGACAAAAAATTTAGTCGGCAAATAGAACTTTTTCCCGACTAAAAAATATTTTTGTCGCTAATTACTTACAAGTATGTTCCCAACAGAGTGTATTTGAGACAAAAAAATTCGTCACAAATTTATCATTTTCAATGACGAAATTGTTTTTTCGTCTCTACGACCCTTTAGCGACGAGGCTTTGGCGACAAAACGGGTGACGAAAAATTTTCGTCGTAATTAGTATTGGTGACGAAATATATATATTTTGGGACAAATTTGTTTCGTCTTTAAATCCCAAATTTGTTGTAGTGAATTCTAAAATTATTGAATTTTCTTAATTTTAAACAATTAAGAAAATTCATATTGGCTAGTTTCTATTTGCCTTTTATTTTATAATCCCAAATCAGGAAAAAAAAGAGGAAATAGTGAATTGTTTCATTTACATAAAGTGAATCTTATGCTCCAATTTATATAAATCATTGAAATTTCTTAATTTTAAATAATTAAGAAAATCCGTATTGGTTAACTTTCATTTAACTTTAATTTTACAATCCCACATCGAGAAAAAAAAGAAGGAAAAAGTGAATTGTTTCATTTATATAAAGTGAATCTTATACTTCCATTTATATAAGTAAAAGAAGATTTTTAGTGAGAAATCCTATAATCAATATCATTTTTTATTTTACTTTATTTGTGTGTTTAAGAATACATGTACAATACTCCTAGCATATCACCTGTATTATGTGAAGGTGCTTTTGTAAACACAGTTTCAGTCTGCAATCTAATGTGCATATCCATTTAACTTTTATTTTACAATCCCGCATCAGGAAAAGAAGAAAAAAATGAATTGTTTTGCTTATATAATAAAGTGAATTTTATGCTCCCATTTATATAAACAAAAGAAGAATTGTAGTAAGAAACCCTATAATTAATACCATTTTTTTTTCTTAATTTTAAACAATTAAGAAAATATCCATTGGTTAGCTTCCATTTAATTTTTATTGTACAATCCCATATAGACGTTTTGATTTTAAAAATAATTTTGTATGAGAATTTGAAACTCTCATAATATTTAATTTTAAAATAATTATAATCCCACATTGAGAAAAGAAATAAAAAGTGAGTTGTTTCACTTATATAAAGTGAATCATATACTCTCATTTAATATTACAGTATTGTGTATGTTTTAGTTCGAGGTGGTTTAAATTTTAAAATAAAATTTAAAAGTTTTAATTAATTAATTTTGTTGTAAATTAGTTGGTCTTTTGACTTAGCTGATTAGATTGAATCGTTTTTTATTTGACATAGTTTAACTACGATTTTAGTTATTTTATCAAAATATATTGCTTAGATTTGTTTAATTTGAAAATAAACTAAGATTGACCTTATTAAAAATTGAACGACCGAAATAGTTTGATTAGAAATTAATTTCCAGACCAAACAACTGTTAACTTTTATTTTACAATTCTACATTAGAAAAAGAAGGAAAAAATTAGTTGTTTCACTATACAAACCTTATGATTCCATTTAATATTATTGTGTTGTGTATGTTTCATTTCAAGACAGTTTAAATTTTAAAATTAAAATAAAATTTCAAAGCTTTAATTAATTAATTTTTGTATAAGTTTGTTGGTCCTTTGACCTAGTCGATAGGGTGAACCGTTTTCGATTTGACTGATTCGCTGGTTTGACTGTGATTTTAGTAGTTTTATCAAAATTTATTGGTTAAATTTGTTTGATTTAAAATAAATTAATGATTGACTTAATTAAAAATTAAACGGCTAAGATTGCTACACTTTCCGTCCAAACAATTGTTAACTTTTAAACAATTAAAAAAATTCCCATTAGTTAGCGTTCATTTAACTTTTATTTCATAATCTTTAATCGAGAAAAGAAGAAAAAAGTGAATTGTTTCACTTACATAAAGTGAATATTATACTCTCATTTATATAAACAAAATGAAATTTTTAATTAGAATCCTTATGATCAATATTTCATTCAAATTTTTTTGATTTTTTTAATTTTAAACAATTAAGAAAATCTCGATCGGCTAACTTCTATTTAATTTTTATTTTACATAATATAAAAAAATGAAATATTATTATCATATTTTTATTAAATAATATATTATTTTATCTCGTGCATAGCATGTGTGATATACTAGTCTATATATTATGAAAATAAAATGAAAAAGATTAAGGGGTTGGAATGATTTAAAAAAGTATATTTTTTAATTTTTTATGAAAAGATATGTAAAAAAGTGATATAATTTAAAAAATATAAAAAAAACCAAACAAATTTTGATTTTCATAATTTAAAAAATATGAAAAAAACCAAACCAAATCCCCGAGCCCAAATCCGGAGCGCTTTCCTGTCGTGGTTGTGAATTTTGATTTTCAAGACGCAAAGAAAGGGACAAGGGTCACAAAACCCACGCATCCTCGATTCTACTGTCCTCACCTGGGGCTTCCCTAATACTACTTACATCCCTCAATTTATTTTCTCTGCGATTCCTTCCAATTTTCTCAGCTTCATCAGATTGATCTATTTGTTCCCCCAAACATGCCTTCCGAAGATTCAAAGCCGGTGAAGAAAGAGGAGGTTGGGGACGAAAACGATGACAAACCCTTGGGTTCTGTTATCGAAAACCGAAAGAAGAAACCCAACAATGCCACCCCCAATTCTCGACCCATCAAGGAATCCAAAGTAAAGAAAGAAGAACCCAACGACAACGGCGATTATTTTGAGAAACCCACTTCTAAGAAGAGCTCATCCAACAAGATTGACAAGGTAAAGAAGGAAGAATCTAAAGGCAATGATGATTTTCAAGAACCCACTTCTAAGAAGAGCTCATCCAACAAGATTGACAAGGTAAAGAAGGAAGAATCTAAAGACAATGATGATTTTCAAAAACCCACTTCTAAGAAGAGCTCCTCCAACAAGATTGACAAGGTAAAGAAGGAAGAATCTAAAGACAATGATGATTTCCAAAAACCCACCACTAAGAAGAGCTCCAACAAGATTGACAAGGTCTGTATCGCATACATTTTGGGTTTTTTCATACATATTTTATGTATAATGAATTTGTTTGTTTGTTGGGTTAAAGGTGCACAAAAAGAGTAAGATAAAGAAGGAGGAGGACAAGAAAAAAGGGGCCAAAGAAGCTGAGCAGAATGGGAAGAAAAGGGAAAAGAAGGTTTATGATTTGCCTGGTCAGAAGCGAGACCCTCCTGAGGAAGTATGTGTTCTTGCTTGCTTATGTATATACAGTAGATTGTGTGATTAATTATTCTTTGATTAATGGGTGTGTTGCAATTTTGGAATTACAGAGAGACCCACTGAGGATTTTCTATGAAACTTTGTATGAGCAAGTGCCTCATAGTGAAATGGCTGCTTTCTGGTGAGGAATTTCTTACTGATAGTAAAAACTAAGGCCCCTTTTAAAGTTTTTGAGTTTTGTGTATAGCTAGGGTTTGGCATATACATTTAGTTGATATTCAACCCTTTAGTTATTTGTTTCAAGTGTGAAATGTGACCCCTTTTTTTATTATTGTCAATTGTGTTCGTGTGAATTGTTTTACTCAATTTTATGTTTGCTAATGAAAAGTTGAGACCTTTTTCTCCATTTTTTAGCATCAAATGAAGATATTTTGGTTTGTAACCTTGGATTTGATTTTATCGGGATGCGGCAGGGGGAGATGGGAAAAACAATAGAACAATGAGAGAATCGCAAAAGCCTAAAGGAATTGTCAGGAAAAACAAATAGCAAGGGCACTTCTATTGTTGTAAATATGAGGACCAAATAAGTGGGTTTCTGGATATTTTGTATATGTTTCACTTCATAAATTGAAATATGTTATACTAAAACTTGGACATCGAATTTGATCTTAGAGTTAGTTGAGTAGTGAACCATATAAAGCGGTGATGTGCCATATTGATTTGGTGGATTCTAATTTCTAAACCAATATAGAAAGATGGAAACCAAGCTCTGTTGTCTCCAAACTGTATATGACAATTAATGATAGGATGCTCTTAGATTTAAAATGGTAACTGAACAACATTGTCATATTTTTTTACTGTGGATTGTCTGTTAGACTTTTATATACTGGTGCCATTGAAATGTGAATGGTCATTGGTAAAAGATTCAATAGCTTAAGCATGTTGTATTTGCTAAATGTGAAGTGTAAACTTCCTTTCCAAGTTGACTTTCTGCATACATTTAGGGTTTTAGTCATATATCAAATTGCTACTTTCCATGAAATCAATCGAAAGGGACACAAGTAGAGGTGGAAGCTAGGAAGCACAGATATGATATAGATATGACAAAATCTAAAAAAGTGGATCCGGTTGCAACTAGGATACATTTGCAAAAAAATAAATATTTTTTAAAATTATTAGTTGTGAGTTACACATAAGCTCAAGAATGTTGAGAAACCACACTGTAAGCTTCGTTGTCTATTACATGTAAAAGCCATGATATTGAATGGTTTGGTACAGAACATGGAAGCTGTTGAACATGTAATCCTTAGAATTTTACATAATGGCATTTCATGAGTTCAAAACCTGATTTGTACGTTGAAATGCTATGTAAAGCATCAACAGGATAACCAAGCACATGCTTAGTCTATTTAGCAGCAAACATGACCTTCCATCAATATTTTCTAATAACAGTGTTTACCTTCTTAGAGGTGGCAAGAGAAATCTAGAATTACAATCTGTATACCACTTTAGATCTATGCGTATGCACCATATGGTAAAGATTGAAGCTTTTCTAGACAACCCCAACAAATTTATGATTTCTTCTTCTTTTGGGCTTTCTTTCATTCAATTACAAAATTTTGTCTTGTAGACTTGAACATTGAACTATGATTTGCGATCTCACAATTGTCACGTCTGAATTAATTTTTAAATTGCATCATAAAATCATTTGAGCTCTGTATTTGTTCTTGTCACATAATATATATGAATGTGTGACAGTTCTCTCTTTCTCTATTATTGCATGCTTTACATTATGTATTACCTGGCATATTTTCTATCTTCCCCTGTCCCAGTTTAATCCAATAACTTGTTTAGGTCGCTATCAAGGTTTACCAAATCAGGTGTTACTTTTTTCCTGCCATGTTGACTTGACTTGACCGCCACTGAAAAACTTTCATGAAAGTAATATGTACAGAGTCTGAAGCTACTCCTAATTTGTCTTTCTGATTCTTCCTATAATCATATTCTAGAACAAAAAGTACCGCAATCCCAAATTTCATTTTTTATTACGCAGATTTTTAGTCTCCAATGTCAGCTGAATTTTATTGTTTCTATTGTTAAGCTTTAATTGGGTGAGGTTTTTTCAATACTAACTTAGAGGGGGAATGAATTCTGACCTACTGTTAATATATTGTCTCTGATGGACTACATTGGACATGTGGCCTGTGGTTTGCAATTCTATTGACAAAATGCTACTCTGATTTGGGAATATGTAATTTTCCAATGAAACCAAGGGTACTTTGTTCCAAATTCAGCATTTTACTTAAAGAAAACATAGGTTATTTGCCTTGCATTATTCGAGGAGAACATAATTCTTGGGACTGCAATTTCTAGACTCTTCATTTTTAATTATTAGTATGCACTATTTTGTTCTTTCTTTTATGTTGCTTTCCTTGAGTGAGTCGGATTATGTTGTTGGAGTTTTATTTTATATGTATTTTTGTTTTGTGGTTTTTATCAAACTTCTACTTTAAAGCAATTATTTTTGTTATTTTTATTTATTTTTTTGGCTTAAAGACCAAACAACACTTATAGCTAAGTCGATTAAGAACTTTTGACTGGATGCAGTCAAAACAGTTTTTACAGTGACTTCATTTTATTTGAGTATTAGCCATGACATTTGTACGAGGGTAGACAAAGTCAGTCTTGTTTGGTTAGTGCCACCTTGGAGGACTTCGTCATTTAGAGCAGTTTTCTGTTCTCTAAGACCTTAATTATCTATGTATGCCAGGATTAATTTTTTTCTCTTTGGCTGGAAGCTTATTATGGACCAAGGATCTATTGTTGGGAGAGTACATTTAATTTATACTTTACCAGTGGTAATGAATGGTAGTCAGAAATGTTTGATCTTTATCTTCTAGCCATGCCTTCAAGAAACAATTGGACACCTTTATATACTTTGTTCCCTTTTTGTGTGTCCAATCATTTAGGACACCTATGAATAATCTTTTCTTTCTTTATTTTTCATTCATATTATTTATTTTAGATGCCGCAGCTATATAGATACCCTAGTGGACGATATTATGTTTTGCTTCCATGTAATTCCTGTAACCATCTGTAAGAATCTTACTGTTCTGACCTATCCGGCAAAAAATATGATTTTAACTATTCTCATGTGAATCCAATATTTATTATGGCCTCGTTTGGGAAGTGACTATTTTAGTAGGCTATTTGGGTTTTTGGCTATTTTAGTAGGCTATTTTAGTTTTGTGTTTGGGAAAGATGAGATGAATTTTTAGTTGAGTTCTTGTATTGGAAAGTGTATTGAAATGATGTTTAAATTTAAAATGACAAATTTGTCTCTAACTTTTTATTTTTTAAATTGATATAAAGGGGCAAAATGGTAATTTTGCCATTGATGTACCAATTTCCGGCTGTGACAGTGTAGGCACAGCCTACACTGTCCAGCGCAGAGCCTATTTTTTTTTTTTTTGAAAAAACTGCGAACAGTGCCGCTTTTTTGCTTATTTCTCATTTTATGCTATATTAGCCTCACCCACCTCTTCCCAAACGGCGCCTATGTTTGTAACTGTATTGGCTGTCGGCGTTGTGAGGTATTAAGCAGATTAGATTTTGAATCTTTTGTGCTTCTTTTAATGCATAAATCAGTACCACATGGTTATATGAATGGCTACTTAGATTCTGATGTTGCGATTTGTGTATATGTTTAATCATGTTTGAAATATGCTTCTTGTGTCTTGCAATCAGATTTTGAGTAAACATTTCTCCAATTCCAATGCAAATGCAGGATGATGGAGTCTGGCTTGCTCCCCAAGGAGTTGGCAAAGAAAATTTACGAGAAGAAACAGAAAAAGAGTCAGCCGACGAAAACTGTTGTCACCACTGTAAAGAAGAGCTCCGAGTCTGTTACTGTGAAGAGAAAAATAACATCCTCCCCAGTTTCTTCACAGAAAAACAAGACACCAAGTTCCAAAGACTCATCGAAGATGTCCAAGAAACGCAAGATTGAGGAAGAAGGTATATCCAGGGATGAATCAGATGATGACTTTGTTTTGGCCAAAAGAGTAGCCAAGAAACAAAAAGCAGCTTAATTTGTTAGAAGGTATCAATCGTAAACAGAACTTGTGGAACTTAATTTTATTGTAGTTGGATAACTAATGTTATGTCGGAATTGAACTCTATTCTCTTTCAACTAATTTTGTAGAAGTTTAATATAGTGATTGGGTAGCATTGGATCGCCTGTTCCAAATTTTACTGCATCATCATCAGGGAAGTAGGCTCTGTTTTCTGGTAAGTCTTGTACTGCTCATTGCAAATTTCATTTCTAAATTCGAATATAACTTTGTTGGATAACTTTTTAAATTGCAAAAGCTATTTTAACCACTTGTGTGGCTTTTTACTGCCAGTTATGGTCTTGGACTGATTTGCTATTATTTGGTTTTCCATCCAAATAGATTGAAAGTGTAATTCTTACCATGTCCCTGTTGTGTAGTTATGTTTCCGTTTCCCTTGTAGTAGTTTGATAAAAAGACATAAATGACTCCATCAATCATTCTATCTTCATCTTCTACCTCTAAATCCTAAAAACCTTCACTAGCTAACTTTTTTTATTCCCTGTCACCACTGGCCGCTGCATATCCTCTCCTCTCCTCTCGTGGCTCCCTGTTGCCTCCCCAGCCCTTATCGCCACCCCATTTTTCCTTCCTAACATTCTCTACCCTCCCTGACCTCCATGATCACCGTGGGACTCCCTCTCCTTCTCAATACCCCAATGACTCCCTCTCCCCTTCTCATCTCCTGTGACCCCATGCCTTTTCATGGCATTTTCCATATTCCCTGCCAATCTGTATACATATATATAGATTTTGTGTACTGAATTGTTTTGCAGAACTTGGTACAAAGTTGATAGAGATGAAAAAGGATATTGGCCTATTTTGGGAAGTGGGTTAAAAGTCACTTCTTAAGTTTTAACTCACTTCCTCTCACAAAAAAATAAAAAGAAGCCAAAAAGTCAAAAAATAGGCTTTTAACCATCTTTCCAAAACACTCCATTGTATATCTATTACTCTACTTGCTTGTGAAATTAGCATTAGTTTTACTGGTCGTGGCTGTAACAGTAAAAATTAATATATTTGGTAGTGATAGAGTTATTATGAGTCAATTCTAAAATATGAAATTTGTGAGCAATTGTAGAAGTATGTATATTTGTGGTTTTTATTTATTTATTTATTTTAAGTAATAGCATCAATGTCGTAATTAAGATTTGTTTTTGTTTATGATGCTAGAATTTTTTTTGAGACTTTTTTTTGCATAGAAAATGCTTTTGTTTGTTTGGTTGTGTCCTTAAAAAAATTGTATTAATGGTGTTGGGGTGGGGGAGGTAGTGGCTGTATTTGTGAAAGGCATTTAGAATGTTTGGTTTGAGTTTTTTGGATTAAGTTTTTTGAAAATTGAGTTTTTTGGTTTTCATTTTTTTTTTTGTTTTTAGTGAATATTTTTAAAATTTTAAATATATTTTTTTATTTTTTTAGATGCACCTTATTTAGATGTATCTAAAAAGTAAAAAATTTGTGAAAAAATATTTTAAAAAATTAATAAATACATAAAAATATATTGAATTCTCATATATTTTTTTATACTTTTGGTATTTAGTGAATTTTTAAAAGGTTTTTTTACAATTTTTTTACTTTTTAAATATATTTATGTTAGATATGTCTAAAAAGTAAATAAAATTGTTTAAAATATTAAAAAAATTTAGTAAAAATAAAAAAACGCGAAAAATAAGAAAGTATAATTTTTTGAAAAGTGTTTTTAGGCCATGTTTGATTCACAACACTAATAGTGAGGTATTAATAATCCTATCAAATTAGTGTGGTATTAGCTATCCCACCCCTACCCCATTACTAATAATCCTACAAATTTGTTAGATTAATTATCCATTGGATTAATAATCCTAAACCAAAATGTCCAAACAAACATAGGATGATTGGGCCCACGGATTAATAATCCCAATCCCATGCTTTAATCCTTCCAATCAAACATACCCTTAGAGAACTATAACCAAAGTGATTAACTTTTTTTTTTTTTTTAACAATAATTTCTGTCTTTAAAAAAAAAAAAAAGGGAAAAAACAAAAACAGAAATATTAGCCGAATCAATCCTAAGAGTGAAGTTTATAAAACAGATAACGGAGGATAAAATGTGAAAACATTGAATAGTACTCTGGTTGTTCCTTGTATTTGAATTTAACATATTGTTAACAGTCTCATTTGTTTCCGATGCCAGCGGTGGCAGAGGCGATTTGCTGGTGTAGTGTAATGGCATTTTAAAACTTTAATTTAAAAAATGTTTTTAGTAAAAAATATTTTTTTGCTTAAACTTGTTTTTCATTAATTACAAAAACATTTTTCGTGGATTTTTATTTTTAATTATTCCAAGTACTAAAAAATGTGAAAAATTCCAAATAAACTCGCATAGGTTTTTATATGAGTTTGTCAACAAAAAAAGATTTTAGTAAGAATTTAAAATGAAAAAAAAAAATGTGAATGAAATATAAGTTTATTTATTTATTTCATTATTTTTTTTTGTTTTAATTTTTAAATTCCTATTTAAATCTATAATTCAATAAAAAAAAAATAAAGCAGCAAAAGCAAAAATAAAAATTAGTCAAAGTAATGCTAGCATTCCAGTGATAAAAGCAAATCAAAGTTCACTTTATGTTCGCTTATTACTAAAATACCCTCACAGCAAGGAGAAAAAATTAGTGGTTAAATTGAGTCAATAAAAAAAAGAAAAAAGAAAAAAGAAAAAACGTAAGGTTAGATTTTATGAAAAAAATATCATAAAAAGTTTTATCAAAATTTTTCACTCTTAGGTTACACATAATAAAATATCACAAACTAATCAAAAGATAGAGAATCTTGATAAAACTTTTCATAATATTTCTTTTATAAAACCTAACATTCTTGAAATAGAAAATTGCAAGTTGTGATCATAATAATTCTTGGGTTGGATTATTCTCACATACAAATTTAAAAATAAACCATTTATTGTTTAAAAACAAATACAATAAAATAAAAATGTTATTAGTATCGAATTGATTTCATTTTTAACGCTTATAAAAAAAAAAAATTTAGGCTTAATTTTTCCCACTTTAGAAATCTATATAGCATAAACTCCTTATTTATTTATTTATTTTTTAATTTTTATAGCCTGATAGGTCATGTTCATTTAGAAACATTTTTTATGAGATCATATTTAATATATTATTATGTGACCTTAAGATGGTTCTGCCCTTATTGATTGTTGGGCTTATTTTTTTATTTTTACTTTTCGAATTCGTTATATTTCCAAATGTGGATAATAAAGCGCAGGCCCACTAAAAATCAGGCTGCGGGCCTAGGCTTGGACTTGAGGCGAGCTTAACAATTTTTTTATTTTTAAAAAATTCTTTCCACCAAAAATTTATTTTTTTTAGCAAAATAGCTTGAAAATGATATTGGGTCTCGAGCAGGCCTTGGCACAGGCTTTGAGCGGGTTGGTAGATTGGGCTTTGGGTTGGGCTTGGCGGGTTGGACTCACGGGCTAGGTCGGGCTGGGCCTCAAAATATACAGCCCAGGTCTAGCCTAGTAGGGTTGTGGGCAGACTTCATGTGAGCCACAGGTTGGTGGGCCAAATTTACACTCCTAACTAGGGCTGAGCAAGAAATCCGTAAAATCCGTAATCCGATCCAGTCCAGTCCAATCCGATAGGTTTGGATTGGTTTTTTAAATCCGCGGTTCGGTTCCGGATTGAAGAATTAAAAATCCGTAGTACACGGATTGGTTCTAGATTGAACCCTACGGTTCTGGATTGGAACCGATCCGGACCGTATACAAATAGTATATATTTTTATTATACATCCTCCTCATAGTATCTTCTCTTATTTTATATAAAATCTAAACTCAAACCTAAAACTGTATATATTTTTTTTTATTACTTTTGTTTGTTAGTTTTTAATTTTAATTTGTAATGGTTTAAATACTTATGGTGAAACCAGTTTTCTTATGGTTGTTTAAATTCTACAACAATATGTCGCTATTATAGAAATAGATGTTGCTATTGTGGAACTAATATAGCGCTATGTTTATATTTTTATGAAATTAAAGTGTTATATATATATATTTTTGTTATTTAATTATGTGAATCCGTGGTTCTAAACCGATCCAATCCGTATTTAAATGGATTGGTTTGGATTGGTTCCATGATTGAAACGGATTGGATTGGTTCCAATTTTTCAGGAACCGTAGATAACGGATTGGTCCTGATTTTACCCCAATCCGGTCCAATCCGGACTATGCTCACCCCTACTCCTAACTGACATTGCATTCCTCATTTTTTTGAGATTTTACTGTAAAAATACGATTCTATCACCCTATTTAGTTTTTTGAGTTTTCAATTCTTATTTTTTTATTTTTAATACTTTTTAAATATTTTAATCAATTTTTTTTTTTAAATTTTTAGATCCACTTAATCTTAATATACTTAAAAAGTAAAAAAATTATACAAAAATCTTTAAAAAATTCATTGAATAAATCAAAATACGAAAATGTATTGAATTTTTATTTTTTGTATTTGATTTTTAATTTTTTTTTCACAAATATTATACTTTTTTAAGTGCATTTAGATTAGGTGTATTTAAAAAATAAAAAATCTGCGTAAAATATTTAAATTTTTTTTATTGAAAATAAAAAAAACACAAAAAATATAGATTCAATTTTTTGAAACAAAGCATGGTGAATAAAATGATCCGTTACAACCAGAGTTAAATCAACATTAGATAGCTGATTTCGAAGTTGACGAAAGACAGACATGGGAAATTTACTCGTTAACCAAAAAAAAAGTGGAGTAGGACGATGGACAAATCTCGAGTGTGTGTTCTGACTCTACAACGCACACATCATTTAAGTTAGAGAGTATAACTGTCAGGATTCGACCTTACATTCAAATTCTTGACGTGGTTCATCCAACAATTAAAAGGCCATCCTAAGATTATTGCACCAAACCACTGAAAGTTAGCCCCCCAAAATGTATAAGCTGAGATCTTAAGACTTACACCCCGAAACTTTATCGAAGTGCCACAATCTCTTAAGTTACAGGAAGAGGTACAGTGGTAACTTACCATCAACATAGGATTTCGTTGTTTACTGTTGCTTGATGATCAGGTGATGAGCACTGATAAAATGGTGAATGTGAAGGGATTAACTAATAAACATTCATGGTACTTAAATAAATGAATAACATTAGTGTAAATTAAACTGACACTCCTTAAGATTTGTATTTAATATATATTTTCTTTTCACATTTGAAAAATTATATATATATATATATATATTTTAGATTTGTAATCTCATTATAATTTGTTTCTGAATTACTGATGTCATGTTCTAAAATTTTCTCAATGACGATCTTACCATTTCTTCTACTTATCATCATG